CCCAAACCACGTCCACCCCCCCCCCCCCCCCCCCAAAAAAAAGCAACACATCTCCAAATCTGGTCCGGACATCGTGTGAACAAGCCCTAAGACAAATTTTGTTGCGGCATCGTCTTAAAGATGTCTGTGAAGGTTGTCATTTAAGCTGGTCATACACGGAGCAAATTTTCTTGATGAACTTGACAAAGTTCGCTCTGTGGGTGGTCCTGTCAGGAGCCCTCTGCCCAACGGCCTTCAATCAGAAAATGGACAGAGCTGGGTGGAGAATTTTCCGTTGTGATTAAATCCAATCAGCTGCAGTTATTGATCAGGTATCCTGACCCACCACTGTCAGAATACAATAGCACAGTGCGAGATGTGCTAGCTGAATGGAAAAAATATAACAATGTATGCCCAGCTTTATCCAGGTCATGGTAAATCTAGTAGTCGTTGGTCATATTTAGAGCTGCAGCTAACGATTATTTTCAAAATCGATTAGTTGGCCGATTATTAAGTTCGATTAATCGGTTAATCAGATAAACAATAAAATACATTTTAAAACATGGCTGCAGTGATGGGACTACTAGTTTGTATTGAGATTGCAGTCCATCACAGGAGCAAGCTTCGAGTGGTGGAAGTAAAAAAGAAAACAAATAGTGTGGTGTGCAATATAGTGAAATGGAAAGTGTAAAATTATACAGCAATGAATGCAGAATGGCACCGGCTATAGAGGACTACAAATCCCAGCTATAATACATTATACAGCACAATGCAGAATACCACCAGCTATAGAGGAATACAACAAATCCCAGCAACAGTACATTATAGCTGGTGGTATTCTGCATTGCGCTGTATAATGTACTGTTGCTGGGTTTTGTAGTCCTCTATAGCTGGTGGTATCCGGCATTGCACCACTGTATAATGTACTATTGCTGGGATTTGTTGTACTCCTCTATAGCTGGTGGAATTCCGCATGACGCTGTATAATGTATTATTGCTGGGATTTGTAGTCCTCTACACAGCGCAGTGCAGAATATCACCAACTATAGAAGAGTACAACAAATCCCAGCAATACATTATACATACAGTGTATGATGTATTGCTGGGATTTGTATTCCTATGTATAATATACAGCACAATGTACCATCAGCTATAGAGGACTACAAATCCCTGCAATACATTATACATACAGTGTATAATGTATTGCTGGGATTTGTATTCCTCTGTATAATATACAGCACAATGTACCATCAGCTATAGAGGACTACAAATCCCTGCAATACATTATAGAGCACCATGTGTGGGAAAGTGCAGGCTTACCTGAGCAGTCTTCCAGCAACTTGCTTCTGAGATAGGGTCTGCCTGAGATAGGTGCGTCGTGTAAAGCGTGGATGCGGGTCTGGCAGCGGTGAGCGTGATTTGGGGAGGGGGTGCAGCGTGTGTGGAGCCGTGAACAGGGCCAACTGATCGGAAGCCGATTAATCGATTATTGAAAAAGTTGACAACTTTTTCAATAATCGATTATAATCGATTATGTCGATTAGTTGTTGCAGCCCTAGTCATATTGAACTGGACTTGTTCTGTAATGTTGAAGATGTTTCATAGCTTATCATAGCCACGTCTTCACCTCTGAACTCAAAGGTTATCTAACCCCAGTTTTACAGTCCTTAGATGTGAAAGCTGCATTAGTTATTTTCAAGCTAAGAAAATTCTCAGCAAGTACAGAAAATACCTGCTGATCTTCCCAGAAATCCAGTGTCCTTGTCACTTCCTGTGAGCCAAGCTAAAATCACAATGTTCTCTTCCTTCCAAGCGATCTTCTACAAACTATAGAATGTCCTATGTCCCGGTGTAATGGAAATTAAAGTGACACTAAACTCAGGAGTTCAATCTTAAAAATGCATTAAAAGTACCTTAACAACAAAAATTTATTTTATTTATCTATCACTCGGCTGTAGATCCTCAAATCATCTCTGAATTGGAGCAGACACTGAACTTCCTTCTGGAGGGTGGCTACTTTTGTTCCCCATGGTCCCTGTGTGTATGGTAAAGTAGTCACTGCTCCAAGCTTGCTCCCATGATGGACTGCAATCTTAATATAAATTAATAAACCAAACGTCAGATTGAAGTCCATCACAGGAGCGAGCTTGGAGCAGTGGCTACTTTACAACACACAGGGACCACAGGGAACAAAAGTAGCCACCCTCCAGAAGGAAGGACAGTGTCAGCATCAATTCAGAGATGATTTGAGTATGATACACAAAATAAATTCTTGTTAATACTTGAATGTATTTATAAGATTTAACTCCGTGTTTAGTGTCACTTTAAGAAAGAATCCATATCAGGAGAGCAGCCTAAGATAACAGAGGTTCCTCTGTAGATACAGTAGAGTGAGCATGGCCACCCAAGGACAGGAAGTGTGTTACTTCTTTTTCAATAATCGATTATGTCGATTAGTTGTTGCAGCCCTAAAGAGGACACGAGGTGAAAATAAAGAGAAGAAAGGAAACTAATGCAGCCACATCTGGGGACTGATAAGCTGTCATGTACTGCGTTTTTGTTTAGATACATTTAAAAAAGTGACTTCAGCTCAGCACTGAAGTGGCTTTGATGAGCTCCAAAACATCTTTAACATTACAGAACGAGTCCAGGTGGACGTCGCTAACCATTACTAGCTGTCTCAAAGATGTGACACCATCAACAATTTACTCCAACATGGAAAAAGTCTTTACCTCCAAGATCCTCAGCACTGACATGGCGGTATTTCTTTATGCAAATAAGAACTACTTGACTCTGACACAGGTGTCAACAGTAACAATAAAAATGGGGCAGGGCTTTCATGAATTAGGCGCAGGGCTTATGACTACGTTTACACGGCTGGAAATGTGCCACCAAAGCCTTACATTGACAGCCAGTTAAAGAATAACTCCATCTTTTCACCCCAATATGGATGTAACATGAAACACGGTCACATAAACAAGCCCCCACTCTCCGGAATGCCGCGGTTCTTCGCAACGCATGTTTAAAGCAGAACTCCAGGCAAAAACCTGCATTAAACCTTGCAGTAGGGATACTCCCGCACTGCAAGGGTTAAGTGCTTGGTTTTGGTCTAGGGAGGAAAATGATCAGAGCCAGCCAGCTGTGACAGCGCTCCCTCCAGCCTGTCAACTCTTCTACTCCAGCGATGGAATGTCCCTTGATGTCCTCACTTTCTATATAGTGTGTATCAGGGACCATAGACCACTGCAGGGGAGGGGGAGGCTGGAAGGGCCGGTATAAGTGCAAGCCGGCTCGGGTTAGAGTTGAACCTTTTTTAGCACCTAGGCACAAACAAACGGTTACCCCTTTCAGTGTAGGGGTAGCCCCACTGCAAGGGTTAATAAAGATTTTGCCTTGAGTTCTTCTTTAAAATTGGTGCCTACACAGGTGTATCAGCTTTCGCTCACAGCTCTTCTGACAAGATCTTTGACTAGAAAAACTACAAATCCAATCAGAGGGACTCAGCTGTCGATGGAGTACAAGTACAGTGATGTTACAGCACTCAAAGTCCACTCATACTTCCTCCTTTCCCATACTTTGGTACAGACAGGGACGGTGAGAAGTCTGCAGGATCCAGAGCATTGCACCCACTGATAATCATAATCGCAATGGTTTGCAGGCTCCAATACACACACACACACAAATCAATAAATGCTAATTTTTCTTTTATCAATGTGTGCACGTTTATTGATCTTTCACAAAAGGTGTCGTATGCCTTTAATTGATCAGCAGCCTCCTATACACTGGGCAATGTGCCTAGCACAGATGTCTCAGTGATTACCCATTCATCAATGGAGCACACTGTGAAAGTTACGAACATCTGCCTCCTCAGGTGTTGTCACCCCACCAGCGCCCGCGTCCTGAAAGTTTACATTGTCTTCCTATAGGAGTGTGATCAGAGACACCTGTCCCCAGACTGACCCTATGCCTGGAGCCCCCCTATGTACATACACTATGGCTGGGTTGATGTCCGGAGCCCCTCCCCCTCCCTCGCTGGGGGCGGCCCCTTTGTCCTCGCCTGCACTCACACAGGGCCCGTACAACAGCAAGTAACACAAGCAAAGGGAACACAGTTGACAATTACCGTGTGTGCGGTTCCTGCCTCCTCCGGTGCTCCGCTTCCCCCGACTCGCCACCTTTCCCCCCAGTGTGTGTATTTGCCGGCCGAGCTCACTCACCAGCACCGGTCCCGGGCGCCAAACTAACCTCCCTGATCCTCCTCTCCCCGCCCACCCTTCCTCCGGCTACAGACACGCCCACACCGGCGCCTTCGCTCTGGCGTTTCATTGGTGGCTCCTGCGGTGCCCGAACAGTCGGCGGCCAATAGCAGAGCAGAGAGGGAAATGAAGCCGGCGCCAGCGATCCCCCCTCATGTAGCCGTGCACTCCGGCTTCTTTGTTCTGCTTTTCCTGTCTCGGGTACGCCGGGGGCGCGCGTCGCCTCCTTTCCGCCGAAACTTACTTAGCTGTCGGTGGAAACTGGCAACTATTGTGCTTCACGTCGTGTCACTTAGTACCGTTAGCGGGCACGTGTGACCGAACTTGACGCTAAAGAATCAGCAACTTGTAGGTGAACGAGCGGCGAAAGCCGCTTAGAGCTGTGTGTGCTCGTGATTTACTCGTGAATGTTCTCTGAAAGGTCATTCGCGGCGGGTCATGCTCTTTCGCGCGGTCCGCATAATGGCGGGAGGAAGGGAAAAGGCGGTTTTCATTTGAAATTTAGTTGTAACTAGACGTTGGCCGCGTTAACGGTCGGTATGTGTAGTAGGGTGGGCGGGCTTTTGGGCGGTCACGTGCCGCTGCACGTCGACGTGCCTTGCTACTGCTGGCGGTTGAGCTTTAGCTGCCAGCTCTTGTACTTTGGATGCTCCATTCACAAGTCTGGTGTACGGAGCTTCCGTCTACTCGTGTTTTGTAGCACGTTGTAGAGGAAAAAGTATGTTCCGTGTAACTTTCGGGGTCCCGCTCAGCTACACGCCAAGCATCTGTATACAGGGTGTCCAAACAGGCTGGAGGAATTTTTTAAATTCTGAATATATAGGTATAGAAGGCTGGAGGAATTTTTTAAATTCCTCCAGCCTTCTATACCTATATATTCAGACTGTTTTATGTTTGCCCCAGTGGAAAGCAGTAGTATGCAAACACGTTAGTAACATGTTTCCATTGAAGTCTATGGACCCAAACATTCAAATTTGCCTGAAAGCTACAGGCAATTGGCTACAAGCGACAAAATGCTCAGGGGCCGTAGGAAACTATGGGGTCCCTTGTATTGAGCATTTTAACTTCCAGCTACAAAACACCTAGGTGTGATCAAGACCCTAGAGATGAGTCACCAGCAATCATTTGAAGGTTAGAGAATATGCGTTCCGTGACGCTAAACTCGGGAGTTATATCTTAAAAATGCATTCAAGTACCAGAACTATTAACAAAAATGTATCTTATTTGTGTATCGCTCGGCTGTAGATCCTCAAATCCTCTCTGAATTGGTGCTGACACTGTCCTTCCTTCTGGAGGGTGGCTACTTTTCTTCCCCATGGTCCATGTGTGTGCTGTAATGTAGCCACCAGTCAAAGCTCACTCCTGTGATGGACTACAATCTCATGTTTAGTTTACAATCAGCACCAATTCAGCGATGATTTGAGGAGCTACAGCTGAGTGATAATACTGGACCTTATTTGTGTATCACTCGGCTGTAGATCCTCAAGTCACCTCTGAATTCATTATGACATTGTCCTTCCTTCTGGAGGGTGGCTACTCTTGTTCCCCATGGTCCCTGTGTGTGTTTTGTAAAGTAGCCACCGCTCCAAGCTCACTCCTGTGATGGACTACAATCTCAATACAACTTAGTAAATTTAAATGCGAGATTGTAGTCGCGGTAGTGAGCTTGGAGCAGTGGCTACTTTACAACACACAAGGACAATGGGGGACAAGAGTAGCCACCCTCCAGAAGGAAGGACAATGTTATCATGAATTCAGAGGTGATTTGAGGATCTACAGCCAAGTGATGCACAAATAAGGTCCAGTATTATCACTCAGCTGTAGCTCCTCAAATCATCTCTGAATTGGTGCCGATTGTAAACTAAACATGAGATTGTAGTCCATCACTGGAGTGAGCTTGGAGTGGTGACTACTTTACAGCACACACATGGACCATGGGGAACAAAAGTAGCCACCCTCCAGAAGGAAGGACAGTGTCGGCACCAATTCAGAGATGATTTGAGGATCTACAGCCGAGTGATACACAAATAAGATACATTTCTGTTTTTAAGGTACTTGAATGCACGTTTAAGGTTTAACTCCTGAGTTTAGTGTCACTTTGAACATGTCACATGAAATAAATGTTTGCCAATGTTTCAGGGCCCCACATCATCCCTTCAAGGCGATCTATTGAACATTGTATCACCTTGAGAGTGGGACTCTGCGAGGTCTCAAAACAGTTTTCATGTAACATGGAAGATATGTTTTGAGATCTTCAGTGGAGTGCTGCTGCCCTTCCTCTTATGGTATTGCACTGCGCCATCTGGTGCCACCTTCCTATACTGGTAGCAACTTTATATGTAGTGCAGCCAGAACTGTACTACTAGGAGGTGGTACTGCCACCTCTTGAATGTCTGATTTTTTTTTCTCAATCCCATGGACAATGTTATATTGAAATACTGGCCTACAACCTCATGGCAAAATTTGTTATGTACTGGCGGTGCAGTCCCATTTACTTTAATGGGTTAGTTTGGCAAGCGACACCACTTGGTGTCAGATTAATTGAGCCAAATTTTTTTTATAGTAATGGAACATGGGGGACTTACAGAATTGTTACTTACAGGAGGGATCAATTAGTTGATATTATTGGAACAACGTCAAGTGTGGTTTCAGTAAGAAGGTTCCTCAATCATGTTATGAGAAATTTTGTACATGAAACTTTCCCAAACAAGTGGATTGGAAGGCGAGGTTCAGTCAAATGGCCTCTTAGGTCTCCAGGCGACCCTTTTTCTTTGTGGTCATTTTAAGCCAGTAGTCGAATCAGCCCAGAACAATCATTGCACTAAAGAAGGGAATTGTCTCTGCATGTAACAACTTCAGTTCTGCTACATTAAAGGAGAACTATGAGGTGAGTGATTTTCACTCATCCTCATAGTTCTAGCCGACCTGTGACAAGGAGACTGTCACAGGTCGGCTCAGTAGATCGGGAAGTGAGCGAACACATACCGGCGTTCGCTCACTTCTCGATCCTGTCACAGCAGAGAGCCGTGACGGGAGGGACTGGATTCCCCGCTCCAATCCTCCATTGCTGACTGTGGGAGGGGGCGGGTACAGCTGGCTCTGCCTCTAGATAGGCAGAACCAGCTGTCACTCATGCTGCTGGGCGGATCCAGGCATAATTGTCGGGATCCGTTGCAGCTGCGGCGCCTCAGTATACCGCGAGCTGTAGCTCGCGGTATACTGAGCTTAGGGTGACGCTAGTTTGTGTCCTCCCGTTAGCCTTAAGAGAACTATGGGGAAAAGCCCTAACCCCATAGTTCTCCTTTAAGAAAATGTTTATTCTTGTATTCAGCGCATACACAAGTGTTGTGAGGTCCAAAGCCTTCAATTTAAACATTTTAATGTAATAAAACTTTGAAATACATGTTAGCCTATGAATCCAGACTTTTGGGACACCCTGTAGGAATGGAATTAGATGTTTGGATATTATTTGTAGCCCAACAACCTTTACTATTGTCTGTTTCTTCCACCAGGAAGTCACAGGGTGCTAAGCAAATGGGAGAGCTAAGGTTAAAACCTTTCTTATTTTGGATATAGAATGCAATGCTTTTCTTTTGTCCTCTTCAGTTCCTGTATTGCAGACACAAACCCATGTCTTAATTGACACTAAACAAGTGTCACCATTGTATGATTTCAGTTTTCTTCTTGTTCTGGAGGCAGTTTAAAGGGTTAGTTCACCAAAGTAAATTTGCAGTGCAGTCAAGGGACCCCAGTTTTTTTTAGAAATGATGGTGTATTTGAGATAAATTCAGCTTCCTTTAATGACATACCTGCAGGACCGTCGCTGCTTCTGCAAAGCATGGCCCTAAACAATAGCATTCTTATTGATTGTTGCCATCCTGAATAAGTTAGCATAGATGGTACATTAACCGTTTCCCCATGATTACAGGTACTAGCATGGAGCTGCTGTATTGCTCATCCACAAATCCCTCCACACTTGTTCTTTTAATCATTGGGACACGATTTGCATACCAGCTGTCCTAGCTTATATGCAGGATGGAGCCCAGCAGTGTTAGTAGAAGCAGTCAGACTCTCCCGCCACATTTGTTGTCTTGGTAATGTGTGCGTGTGGGAGAGAAGTACAACTGTGCATTCCTGTGATGTAGCAATGATGGGTGGTCATCATTATTAAATCACTGACATGCGCAGCTCTGCTTGTCTACCACATATGCCTGTTACGAAGACATAATGATGTGAGTGGGAGAGGTGACCTAAGCATTTATCATTAAAACATCATAGGTGTGTGTGGGGTTTGCTTGTCTGTTGTGTATATCAATTAAAGTAGTGTTAAATTCTCAAACCTTGTTCAATAATGAATTCCGATCAAACAAATATACATTGCCAAGCAAACTATTCTTAGCTTTTGTCCAAGCACTTAGTCATCATGTTTAAGAAACAGCTGTCCACCAGAAGGGTGTCTCCAGAGGACCCTGCAAGGGAAAGGAGCCACCCTAATACAGTATATCAGGACCAATGCTCAGGGAACCAGCTAATTCTACAGGAAACTAAACTAAAACTTTGTAACAGCAAGGAGCAGCATTAATTGTAAGTTATTTAATCAGCATTTTACATAGCTTAAAATAAAAACATTTTGACTTTAATATCACTTTAAATATTAAATAACATATGTGGCTGGCTATGCTTGTCTAATGATGTACCACCATGTCCCATTTGACAGCCTGGGAGTGTAGAAGAGTGCAAGGTGTGGATTGGTAAATCCCACCTTCAGGCACCATTTTCCTGTTACCTTTTTCTTTTTAAAGATTAAATGAATATGGTAGTGGGGATTCTAGGGGCTAACACTGCCCTTGTAAATAGTGCAGCCTCTGCACCACTAAAGTGTGAATGGCTGCAGGGCAGTGTGCTGCTGTACACACAGCCTTATAATCCAGGAGAAGGGGGGATACACACCCCAGAGTGTAGAATGTGAGATAAATATTAATATTTGGATTATAATCCAAAGTGTTAAAGGTAAAAACTATTTTGAAACCATGCAACTTCTAACCAAACATAGGGGGCATTCCACCCACTGACAGGCTGACCCTAATATATGACTGCATGACTAGAGCAGCTTTCCTGCTTTTCCCCTAGCCAACAACAAACTAAGGTGAACCCTGATTACTCCAG